TCATCAGATGAAGGGTCTAGGCCCGAAACGTCAGCCTCTCTGATTGAAGGTGAGTTGGTTAACCATGAGTTCGCCAATGTGTGGATGAGATGACTGACCTTGTTGCTTTGATGACTGATGATAACTGCCAGCTGAGAGTGTACACTATATCAATAAAGGGGTGGGGGTCAGCTTTAACCTGAGTCCATCTCAGCTCAAAAACTTCAAATCGTCCCCTGTATGGGTTTAATACTTTAATATTCAGTATTGCAGCAGGTACTGGTGAAGATGGCAATACAGCTGAGGCAATTAAGCTTGAAAGTTTGCTTTAACTTACTGGTTGTTAATGTGTGTTCTGTGGGGGTAGTGATGGTAGAGGCAAGGGTTCCTCTAAGTGGCTCATGGATTGCTCTGAAATACAAGTCACTGAACTGCAACTCACTGAACTGCAACACAGTGGCCAAGGCTGTATGAGAGAAGAGGTCAGAACCCTTCTCCTCACCACTCACATAATATCATTGCTATGATTCCAACTGATGCTATTACTGGACTAGTCAGAGCTCAGACTGAAATCTGGCTTATATTTTGCTCTTTGTTTTGGTTTTAATGAGGTGGTCTCTCACTGATTCAGAAGCATGCTTTGTTGCACATTTGGTTTTAACAATAAAACAGAAGTTCGTTACACAAAACACATGAAGATAAAATAGAATAAACCAATTTACATATAATACAAGTTGAAAGATTTTAAACACATGGTAAAATACAGTCCCAATATAATCCCAAAAGCACCCCTTTACAGTACTGACACCTGAAAGAATTCCCTTCTCTATCATATCTATAGGGTTTAATTCAACTGTGGTTTCAATTCCCACCCTTGAGAATCTAGTAGCCTCTTACCAGCGCCTTCATACAACTGAGCTTAGACTTTCTCAGCCTAACACAAACCCTTCAGGGTTTCAATCAAACACTTCTGGTGTGGAAATATCAAACTAAACTCCTTACGCTGATTTTCGGAGACAGTCTGGATTTTGAGCTGATAATTACTGGAAAGAAACCTGAAGACAGAAACCGGAAAATGCTGGAGGCACACAGCAGTTTAGAGAGTGCTGGAAGGAAATGATATAGGTTATGAAATTTGAATTATGTGACCCTTCATCAGACAGCAGATTAAAGGGGGCTTGGGAGGGTGGCTTGAGTTATAATAAAATTACTACAGCCAAAACATGATGGTCTGATTTCTCTCTTTACTGCTATGAACTGACCAGCTCTGTATATCTAACACTCACCAGGTCTTTGTTTTTCTGAAGATCAAACACAGGCATTTTAAAATTAATCCTACTGTTTTATCTATCACTCTGCCTCCGAGTTGGACGACAATGCCTCTGAATGTTGCTGTAATTAATGTTCGTCAGCAGAAAAGTAAACCTCAAAAGATCATCATTCCCTGATGCATTGAACACTGGATCCTACTATAACACTCTTAACCTCCATCATCTTGCATTGACACTTATACATCAGTTCTTCAATCCCATTAATAAACCCATGCTGTCCTATCTGTGCTGTATTGAAATAGCTTCAGTACTGCACCTCCTAACACAAGGGATGGTAAGGAGTTGAGAATGAAGAAGGGACTGTTGTGAGCAAAGTATTAGGCAATATCCCTTTGATGGCAGGTACTAAGGTATTCAGAAACAAGTGGCAGGCATGCACAAGCGATACTTGGAATGATGTAGGCATTGGGACACATGGCCCAGATGAGGAGATTGCTTACTGACCCCACAAATCACAGCTGCAGCCTTTGCTTGGCTGCCATGATCATTGTCCAATCAGCCCCTGTATATGTACAATCTAATAATCTAAATGCTTCAAATAGTTGGGGCAGAGACCATAATCAACAGCAATCCTGCAGCTAATATCCCACACAAAGGAGAATGATCACCAGCAGGAGCCCAGGCTGATTTCTCCATTCACTAGCCAGAGACAGTAAGTGCCTGTTACAGAATCCACACTGCTCTCCAGTATGTGATGGGCCCATGCTGGCGTTCAATCCTGGACTCAGTTGAACCTGGACTGTATGAGCTGGTACCAAGCAGACCAAGTAACTACTAAGCAAATACAAACCAACTTGAATAGAAGTCTTTTGGATGTCAGTAACTTTTTAATAAAATTCTCAGCCTAATTACAGCATTGGTGACCCATCATTCCTGAGATTTTGTGGATTCCTACCTGACATCACCCCCCTCCCCGGTTTGACAATAGGAGGGCATTTGTCAGAGAATGATCTGATCTGTGCTCAGTGATGATCAAACTAGTGTATAGTTGGTGCCTGAGCTTTGGTAACTAGCCACTGTCCAGTTCTGATCACACACTTTTTAGGAAGGATGTGAGGGTCCTTGACAGGGTGCAAAAGAGATTTAGCAGAATGGTTCCATGGATGAAGGATTTTAACTACAAAGTTAAGTTGGAGTAGCTGGACCTGTTCTGGGGCAAAGGAGGTCAGGGGAGATTTGATAGGGGTGCGCAAGATTACAACAGGCTTAGTAAAGACTGACAAAGACAAGCTGCTCCCACCAGCCATTGGTAAGGCTAGGGGTGCAGATTTGAAGTTTTCGACAGTGTGAGGTTACAGCTTTTTTGTACAGTGAATGACAATATCCCAGAATCTCACTGCCACGATAATAGTGGACGTGAAGATGTTGAATGATTTCAAAATGAAATTGGGTAGGCAGTTGATGGATATAAGTTTATGGAGTGGCTGAGACAGAGTTAGGATATTGGACTGATTGGATGGCTCAACAGAGAGCCAGATGGAATGGATGGGCTGAAAGGCCTCCTCCAGTGCTGTTATGATTTTAGCACTGAGTCAGTTCTTTAGGTGAATAATTACAGAAACAAGTCAGAGGTGTTAGCTGCAATGATTGAAAATTCAAGGTTTATGTCAGCAGTGGAGGATCTCCAAGGATTCTAAACTCTGCCACCCCTAGCCAATTTACAGCTTTACCTAGTCAGGAGTTTAAATTCTGAAGTGGACAGTAGCACCATGAACAATGTCCTTGGACCAAGAGCCCCCCTTCTTTTCATATGTAAATTCAGAGTTGCCCATGTTATTTATATGTATTTCATCAGAGCCTCCAGTCACCACTCAACTACAACCAATCACAGACATGGCCCTTTCCAACTAATTTCTTCCAAACCTGACATCTAAAACATAGTTTTAAAAGTCCACACTAAAAGTCCATCAAGTCATTACTTTGAGCATCTTTCCTTCTAAAGCTCAGCCCTTCACCTGGGTTTTCTTAATAATAAACATTTTCTTAAGGATTATTGACATGGATCCAACAGAAATTGCTTGAAATGCTCAGAGGAAGTGA